GAATGGGCAGACTCATAAAACATAAAGTCATCGGCACCATTAACAGGCTAACTACATATCCAGTCAGGATGCTATGAACAGGAGGAAGGAAGATGTGTTCAAGCAATGATTAACAAGGTCCCTACCAGCTCAGATTTTCAACTGTGTGCCAAAGGAGTATCATTCCCAAGGTGCTTGCATTCATTCTCTCTCTCTCCTCAATATATCTGCATGTCCCTTGCCTTTTAACTGAAATATCCCTTTCTTCCTTTGCCAAGCAAATTCTTCCATCCTCTCATGTCTTGGTTCAGTGAAGCCTTTCTCAAATGTCACACTACTGCTAAGTGCATGGCCCTACAAAGTAGAAAGGGGTTAGGATGGAGCAAAGGGCTATCTGAATCATGCCTTAGGTGGGCTTGAAGTCAGCCGGATGAGGGTGCCAAAGTGGGAAATCTTGAAGAATAAGAGATGGAAGATCCATATTCAGGATAAGGCAAGTGTCCTACCAGTTAGCAAGGGACTTATTCAATGAGGCAGACACAGATAAGATCGAGAGTGAATCAGGTTGACCTGTGGGCTCCAATCCATTCAGAGGATATATATTTTGGGCAGTGGGGAGCTGAGAGCTATGGACTGACGATAAATAATGCCTGGAGTATGTTGTGATTTTATGGTGTACAACACATACTCTGTCTTAGAAGTGTAGAGAATTACACATGCATAATTCTATTTGCACATTTCTTGGGATCATAGCCATTCCAAATTAGTTGATTAATGCTTATAACACAATGATACCAAGATAGACTTTAAGGCTTTTTTCCAAATTTCTTCTAAAACCCTACAGTGACTAAGAATCATTTTTAGTTTTCACAGAAACTATATTTAACTGTTGCCTCCAATGCCAAGAAATATCTTGTTAGTAAAAGGCTATGGGGGCCAAGGATTTAGCTCAGTGGTTCCACCGCCTGCCTCGTAAGCACAAGGTCCCGAGTTTGATCCCTGGTACTGAAAAAAAAAAAAAAAAAGGCTATGGACTGATTAAGAAATACTCAATGTGAGATGATGACCGCACCTTAATTTGTAAATCACACTGAGGGTACTACAGGTAGAATGCTTCCTGCGCACTGGCCCCCAGCCAGAATTGTAGCAAGATGATGAACACAAATGAATCAAAATAGCCCTTTCCTCATAGCTGACAGCCCAATGAATTTCACAGTACAGTGAATTAATAAAATAAGACCTGTTCATCTTAAAGTCTCACCGCAAAGCTATGTGCCATCAACCTTGAGCTCAGCATTTTTGTCTGCCCTAAAGCCTTCCTGATTTTCCAGAAGTACACTATATTAAGAGCAAAAAATATCTAATCTCTAGTTTCTGATGACAAACAAGAATTTAATTTTATCACTCTTTCTGTTCCACACAGAAGTGTATTACACATTACTCCCTGTGAGCAAACCAAAAAGTCCTTGTCTCGTTTTTTGGGGGTTTTTTTGGTACCGGGGATTGAACTCGGGACCTTGCGCTTGCGCAGCAGGCAGTGAAACCACTGAGCTAAATCCCTGGCCCAAGAGTCCTTGTCTTGGACCACACCTATCATGAGAAAATGTGTATCATACTATAAAAATGATTACCTTTCAGACTTTGGTCCATAGTACAACTTCAAGAACTTCTTTATGACACCACCTCAAGGCACTAAAGTCACAAGAATGTGAAAGCAAGATAGCTGGGTGGTCAAGGATAGCAATGCAAATTAGGAGACCAAAGAACAAACATGTTATACTTGGAAACTGTTGGCATTAAAATAATCAATCACATACATCAATGATAATCTGCTCTACCATGCTAGCTCTTATAAAAATGAAGGGAAGGGCTACGGATGTAGCTCAGCAGCACAGCACCTGCTTGGCAAACACAAGGTCCTGAGTTTGATCCCCAGTACCAAAAAAAGAGAAAGGAAATAATTCATCATTTTAGTTGCTACTACAAAGATATTTCATTTTTACAAAACCCTTAAACTTGTATCAAAATAGTATAATACACTTTCGGAACTTAGATGTAGAATGAACAATGTAAAATTAAATATGTAAGTATACACAGAAGTATATACTTATTCAAGTCAGTTATGTAGGAGTCATCTTTGATTTCCTTCTCCTTCTAATACTGTATCCATATCCAATATGCCTTCAAGAACTATGCTGAGCCAGGGATGGTGGCACATGCCTGTAATCCCAGCACTTGGGAGGCTAAGGCAGGAGAACTGCCACAAGTTCAGGGCCAGCCTGAATTACATAATGAGACCTTGTCTCAAAAAAACTGAAAAAAAAAAAAAAAAGAAGAAGAAGAAAAAGGAGGAGGAGGAGGAGGAGGAGGAGGACCGTATATATACGCTACCTTCTGAACTGCTCTCAAAGTTGTCCACTTCACCACTTCATATCTTTTGTCACTCCCTAGCTCTACCCACCAAACCTCTAGACGGTAACAACAGCCTCTTAACTGATCTCTTTGGATTGACTAGACTCTTTCTCCATCTTACTCTCTACAAGATAGCTAGAATCATCATGGTACTTTGCTTAAAACTCTAATTTGCAAATTCCTCAACGGGAATGAATGTCTGGTCCCTGCCTACTCCTCTAGCCTCATTCTCCTTCTCGTACAGTCTATGATCTAGCCATGTGTGCTAAAGACTGCTAACTGTAACCCTGTATTTGCTCTTCTCTTCCACAGTCATTAAATTTTGACTTTTAGCTGAATCTATGGCCACAGAAGAAAGATCTTTTCCTTGGATAGTTAAGCATGGCTAGGTGACTAAATCTGGGCCAGCAGGATGCATGCTATGCCCTTAAAAGCGGGCATGACTCTTTCCCTTTACCCTTTCCCACCTATTGTAATGTAGAAAGTGAAAGCAGGAGGAGGCAACTGGCTCACTAAATGGAAGGTGCCTGTGGAGGCAGAGTGCAGGAGATGGATGAAGCCAAGATCCTGATGACTGGAACCACCACATCTTCCCTGAACTGCCTCCTGGACTTTTACATAAGAAAGCAGCTTCTTTTTTTTTTGCTTAAATCACGGATACATGGGGATTTGTCTAACCTAAAACATCATTCCAGCCTTCCAAATTCTCCATTTTCTGGGCTTTTGTGGATGCAATTATCTCTACCTGAAAACACTACTCCTGCTCCTTTCACTTTTCAAAACTGGGAGTCAAATGTTACTTTTTTTTTTTTTTTTTGGTACCAGGGATTGAACTCAGGTCCTTGCGCCTGCGCAGAGATGTTACGTTTTTAGGCAAATCTTGCCTGACTCTCTAGATGAGCTTAAAGACTTGTTATTTACCCCTTATGTCTTCCCATATATAACATATAACATATATATTCCCATATATAACATATATATAACACCACACCTTTAATTATTGAATTGTCTCTTCTACCACACCATACACCAAGAGCAAGTATCTGCTTTATCCACTGTCATTCAAATGATTAGCACTTGGTAAATAATTAGCACCCAATAAATATTTGCTCAACTCAATAATGACACAGCCCTTGATTTTCTGGACTGTGCCCCAACAGTTTCTAGGCCTTATATTAAAGGACCTCTATAAAGCTCATCTATAATTCTGTTCCTGTCAGACACTCTTAAAATGTAAATACTGTTTCTCTGCATTTACTTTTTAGACAAATGTGAAAAGTGCCGATTCTTTGAGCAGATCTGAATAGTTTCTTCTACCACTACTTTATAGACTCATCATATGCCTAGGTACTAAATGAAAGTATTATGTATATTCTTGAAATTTAAAAAAATAGAAACTTTTCATTAATATGATCAACATTTTTAAGAGTTGGGATGACTTAAAGGCATTTTAAAGGAAGATAAAAGAAGGATATAAACTACATTATCTGAATATTCTCACCATGTACAGGAAAACATTCAAAAAAGATTTCAAAAGCTTCTGGTTTTAAAGTATACAGAAGCTTTTAATCACATGACAAGGTCTGTTGGTTTACTGATTTGTTTTTGTTTTTGTTTTTTGAGATAGGGTCTTGCTATGTAGTTCAGGCTGGCCTGGACCTGACTAAGCCCAGGCTGGCCTGGAACTCCTGGCAACCCTCCTGCCTCGGCCTCCAGAGTGTGGTAGCATGCCTGGCTTTGGTTTACTGCTTTTTGTACTCACCCTTCACTGACTGAAGATTCTATGTAGTGTATTCATTTTCACAAATTAAACACCTTTTTTGTCATAACATTGTGGAGCTGAAATAGGATCTTTGGAAAGGGTAGTGGAACATTTGTAAAAATCAAGAGGGCTGGGTAATAGTTCCAGATTTGCCATTGAAATGACTCACTGAGTGACCCTGGATCAGTCTTTTCCTAACGCTAAAAGGCAGAATTCAGTACAGATATGAGAGAAACCTGTGTAAGTACAATATTCAGAGGAAACTAGATATTTACCTACCAATTTTCGGTCTTATAAAGATTTAAATGAAAACCAGAACGCTAGTTTTCTCTGAGATGAGACTAGACTGGTTTGTAGAGTATGAGTCATCTCCTTCTACATTTACTGATGCTCACATTGGATTAGGAAGGTGTTCTGCAAAACCCTGTCCAGGCCAGTAAAACAGAATGGCTTTCACTGCCACTCCCTTGATCCTTGAACATCATTTCCATTAAACAGTTTTAGAGTCTGATAAGAAAGCTCCAGAGAGTAACTGATACAGCTTCAACCGCACAAATATCTGAACTATAGTATGAAAAGACATCTCCGCTTCTTTAGCTCTTCAGAGCAACAACAGCCTAGACTGGGCTTTTTCATTTCATCTGTAATAAAGGCTACAGACGTAGAAAGCATCCGGAGTGAACAGGTTAGGCGCATTCCAAAAGGGTCCCGGCAACCCCACGCTTCTATTTTAAGAAGCTGCGGACCCTACCGGTTCCTGCCTAGTTTTTCCAAAACTGCCCACCTCTTAACGCCCTTGGGGGCTTACTGCCCCGTCCCCGCCCCCGAGTCGCCAGTCGGCCCTGACCTCCTCGAACTGCTCGCCCGAACAGCCAGCTCCGCGAGCTTCCAGCAGCTCCCGGAACTGCTCCAGAGTGACGGACTCTTCGCCGCGGCCCAGCCGCTCTTCCAGCCAGCGCAATAGCGCGCCGTGGTGCCTCGATACCAGCGACTCGCAGGGCGGTGAGGGCCGCAACGCAGCCGCTGCCTCTCGCAGCCTGGCCGGTTCCAGCAGTGCGGCGGCGGGCGGCAGTGCTGGGGCCCCAGGGCCCGAGCCGGAGGTCGTTCCCGAGTCGGCCGCCCAGTCCTGGTGTGGACTCCAGCCCTCGGCCCCAGCGGCTGCCGCTTCGTCTTCACTGCTGTTACTCGGAACGTTCCCCATGGGGCCTCCGTCTTGGGTGCAGGTCTGTACCGCCGCCGCCGCCGCCGCCGCCTCCCAGCCTCGACCTGTCAACCTCCGACAGCACCCAGCGGGCGGGGACAGGGAGGAGACGACGGCGGCAGGAGCGACTTCCGGTTTCTTGGCCGTCAAGCGAGGACTGCTGTCGCAATGGCATCGTCAAGCGTACTCCACCAGCTTACGACACCTACAGGAAGACTACCGCAGCAAAGGGTGTAACCCTGAGTTCCCAAGGAGCGCGTCTGTCATAACCTCTACGTCATCCTGCAGACTGCCTTGCCGCCATTTTTGTTGGGGGCGGATAAACTGTAAGGAAAGGTCTTTTACTGTTGCTCCGCTTTCTCAGCATTCCTCCACGTCCGCAAGCTACGCTGAAAAGTATGTGAAAGAGAGCCAAGGAGTGAGCTTTTCGCCAGATTTTGAGTGAGTCGCATTGATGACGTCACGGTCGGCGCCCCCGCCATCTTAGTTTTGGGCAGCGAGGCGGCAACTTTGGAAGTGTGGCTTGGGTGCGGATGTCTTAATGCGGAGACCCTGCGGGCGTGGACCCTTGGTGAGCCTGGCCGTAGGGGCCGTGGCGGTGATAACGTCGTGGCTCCTGGGCTGGTGTGGTTCTTCGGCTGGCTTTCGCCTTTTCATACCCGAGGAACTGTCCCGCTACCGCGGCGGCCCGGGAGATCCGGGTCTCTACTTGGCATTGCTTGGCCGTGTCTACGACGTGTCCTCTGGCCGGAGGCACTACGAACCTGGAGCCCACTATAGCGGCTTCGCAGGTATTAGAGAGGCCACTCAGGCCTTTTCCACCTGCTCGGGTCTGTAGCCCCCTGCACCGCCTTCTTTATTTATTCACCTGTTTCCCAGACCACCACGTTTGTCCTACTCCCGTGGCGGACTGGACTCGATTGCACCATTCTTATGATCTCGCTGGGCGGGACTATGGCCAGCTACTTTCGACCTGTACCCTCCCTCCACCGCTCTGCGTGACCTATGCTTGAGAAGCGTATCTTTTGTCTCGTTACCTAATACCCAGAGTTGGGAGCCTGAGGAAGTTTTGTGCAAGACTTACTGCAGGGCCTTCACGGCTCACAGTTCCCTACCTTCACAGTTCTCTTAATTTCAGCCACCACTATATGTCGTGACCCAAAATACCCTTCTTGCCATCCCAGGTTTTTTCTAAAAAGGTAAGGTATCTGTTTGGTTTGTGTGTTGTGATTTCCAGTACAAAGGCACTCATGTGCCTTTTTAAAAAAAGACTAAAGCTAGAGCTCAGGAAAAGGGGTCCTTTAAGCCCTTTAATACTTAGAATCATGGTGGCATATGCCTGTCGCTCAGCAACTCAGATGGCTGCACGAGTTCAAGACCAGACTAGGAGTTCACGACCAGCGTGGGCAGTATAGTGAGACCTTATCTCAAAAAAAAAAAAAAAAAAAAAAAGACATGGCCTCAAACAATTTTAATTTTTTTTCTACCGTTCCCATTTTACTCCTGAGGAGATTGAAAAATGTTATTTGCCTAAAGCTTTCATAACTAAGCAGTTACAGGACCAGAATCACCAGCCTAGTCCTAGATACTGCCTTAGCAGTGGAAACCAAATGAAAACAAAAAGTGTTGGAGGGAAAAGGTGAGGCAGAAAGCTTAAGGTCAGTGACTAGGCTGATAATAAATAAGCATCTTCCACTTTACATTCTCTTAGGGGAATTGGGAAACTGCCTCTGGCACTTAAACACAAGTCACTTCCTTCTCTCCAAGCTACTTAAAGTGTCCAGCTGGGGAAGGAACTAAACCAGGCCTACAGTGAGTTAAAAGCGCCGCTGGGACTGGGGCCAAGGTTTTTTTGTACCTACCAGTTGAGAGCATTTTTGGTACCCTGTCCTGCCACATGCTGGTTCGCAGGACAGCTGTATGGATGTATGCACAAATATGGGCATAACTCTTACATTTATGGGATGATATCAGCAATGTGCCCTCCTGTCTACTGAGTTCCTGTGTGCCAGGTTTTCGTTAGACATCTGTTTATTGACCAGTACCATGTGTCTTACCTTGTGCTAGGTGCTGAAGAGTAAGAAATGTCTCTAGGTGTGTTCATTTATTTGTTCATTCAGTCAGTGTTTTTCATTTCTTTTTGTGTGTTGTACTAGAAATTGAATTCAGGGTCTTGTGCATACTAGGCAAGCGCTCTAACATTAAGATGTAGTGGACCCCCAAAATTCACGGGGGGTTAGGTTCCTAAAGCAACTGTGAATTGTGAAAAACCACGAATTTCAAATATGGTCAGAAAAATGCCTATGAATGTCTATTTTTATAGTTTAAACCCTAAATATGTTATGTCTCATGCGGTTATATAATTTAATAAAATACTGTGTTAATAAAGCCTTGGGAGGTGCAGGACATTTTGGCATCATCTTAGGGATCTTAGGGCTTTAAGAAGAGCAAAACCGAGAATACTTGAGATAGCTACGCACAGTATAGCACCTGTACCTGTACCTGTGGGAATGCTGAGGTGGAGATAGGTTACAGGGCAGCAGCCAGTCAGCAGCAATGAGAACTGAATAATGCTATCGGATTGGCTATTTGCAAACCTCTCACCAAGATACAACTTCAGAAGAGAGGATATTTGCAGTTTCTGTGAAATTTTGTGGGTTTCCACAAACAATTATTAGGTTTTAAGGAAAAATGAATGACTGAGGCTGTGATCTCTGAAACATGACTTCATGGAGGTATAATGTACATGTCTAGGCTTTAAATTTTTTTAAAATTTTGAAACAGGGTCTAAGTTGTCCATGCTGGTCACAAACTTGCAATACTCCTGCCTCAGCCTCAGCAGTAGCCAGGATTACATGAGTGTGCCACCATGCCCAGCTACTTTTATTGAAAAGCAATTCATAGAAAATTTTTTTTTCTTTTTTTTTGGTACCAGGGATCAAACTCGGGACCTTGCACTTGCAAGGCAGGCTGTGGCACCACCGAGCTAAATCCCTGGCCGTGCTTTTTTTTGAAACAGGGTTTTGCTGTTCTTCAGGGTGGCCTTGAACTTATGGTAATCATCATGCCTTAGCCCCTTGGTGCTGGGATTACAGGTGTGCACCACCATGTTTGGCTAATTTGCCCTTTTAAAGTATACTTTAAAAATATAATCAGAAACTTTGATAAACACCACCACTATCTAATTCGAGAATATTATCATCTCAAAAAAATAACTCCATATCTAATAGCAGTCCCAGCCCCTAGTAACTCCCATGTACTTTCTGCTTCTAGACATTTGCCCATTCTGGGCATTTTATGTAAATAACATAGTATATATTTTGTGTAGGGTTTCTTTTTCTTCACATAATGTTTTAAGGCTCATCCATAATTATTCATATTTTATTCCTTTTTTTTTTTTTTAAGTTAGGATCTCACTGTCTAGACCAGGCTGGCCTTGAACTCGAAATCCTCCAGCCTCAGCTTCTTGAGTGCTGGGATTACAGGCATGTGCCACCATGCCCAGGACTTCATTCCTTTTTATGGCTAATTTCTATTCTATTGTATAGTTATATCACAATTTGTCTACATTTCAGTTGATGGCCTTTAGGGTTATTTCTACTTTTTGCTTGTTATAGATAATGCTGCTATAAATATTAGTGTGTAAGGATTTTTGTGAATATATGGTTTTAGTTCTCATTGGTATAGACCTAGAAGTGGAATTGCTGGGTCATCTGGTAACTCTGTTTAACTTTTTAGTAAACTGCTGAACTCTCTTCTGAAGTGGCTGCACCATTGTATATTCCCACCAGGAATATATTAGAGTTTCAATTCCTCCACACACATCCTCACCAAAATTTTTTAAGTTCTTTTTTTAATTTTAGTTGGTTTGAAGTCATATTTTATTATGGTCTTGATTATTTTGATCAGGTACAGTTTATCTGTTTTTTCTTTGTACAATCAAAATCACAAAAATTTATACTTTTTTTTTTGAGACAGATCTTACTATGTAGTTCAGGCTGGCCTTGAACTCACTATATAGTCCAAGCTGGCCTTGAACTCATGCCAATCCTCCTGCCTCAGCCTCTCGAGTATTGAAATTACAGGCATGTGCCAACATACCTGGGTATACCTGTTTTATAATTTTAGTTGAAATATTCAGGTCTTAGATCTATTTTGAGTTAAATTTTATATATGGTATGAGATAAGGGTCTAAATTCATTCCTTTGAATGTGGCTCTTCCATTGCCTCCGTATCATTTGTTGAAAAAAACTTCTTTCACTGAATTGACATGGCACCCTTCTTAAAGATCAGTTGGCTAGGGCTGGGTATTTAGCTCAGTGGCACCGCACCTGCCTTGCAACTGCAAAGTCCTGAGTTCGATCCCCAATACCAAAAAAAAAAAAAAAAATCAGTTGGCTATAAATGTATAGGTTTCATTCCTCGAGTACTTGTTGAGCATTTACTAAAGGTCAGGCATTGTACCAGATACTAGGGAATCAATATTAAATAAATTTGGTGCTTTCTTTTTCCTGATAAAACTTAACAGACTAGCCAGGTACAGTGGGTCATACTTGTAATGATAGTTAATAAGGAAGCTGAACCCCATTTGGGCAACTTGGTGAGATGTAGCTCAATGGTAGAGTGCTCCTGGATTTAATCCCCAGTGCTACCAAGTAAATAAATAAATAAATAAAAAACAGACTGCCCCCCCCAAAGACCAGCTAGGTATGGTGGCACAAGCCTGTAATCCCATCACATGGGAGGCTGAGGCAGGAAGATTGCTACAAGTTCGAGGCCAGCCTGGGCTACATAATGAGTTCATCGTCAGCTTAAACTACATAAGTGAGACCCTATGTCAAAACAAGAAATCCAAAATAAATGAATAAAATAAATTTAAGAAGACTAGTAGAAAAGACAAATAGATATCACACATTAAATATTGACGTTAAGTAGATACCATTAATTGCAGTTAATTAAAGAGTTATTTTTGTGATGTGTTAAAAGGAAAAAGTACCAGTTTTGCCAGATGCCCTAAACTAGTGGGAGAGAAGAGAGAGAACAAGCTCAGTGAACAATGAAGAATGTGACAAGACAAGGTTGGTGGCAGTTGGTGTAAGGCACTGTGTGACTAAGGAATTTGAGTATTGCCCCAAGGCAAAGGAAAGCCACTAAGGATCTTTTTCACAGAGCTATGACCTGATGAATTTATGATGAAAAGAACAGGGTGGGGCTGGGGGTGTAGCTCAGTTTGAGAGTGCTTGCCTTGCATGTATATACAAGGCTCTGGATTTGATCACCATGCTGCCAAAAAAGGAGCAAGGGTCTTAGTGTTCTGTGGAGAATAGATTAGTGAGGCAAGAATGAAGGCGGAAGACCCATGAGTGTTCTGCTGCGGTAAGTCAGATGAGATGATGGCAGCCTGTGCTTGCTTGGTGGTTGGTGGAGTCAGATAGATATAGGAACTAGTGGGGAAGAAAATAAAGAACTTGGGCACTGATCAAATGAGGGCAGCAGGAGGTGAAAAGGACTGCATTCCTAGACTGTACAACTGGTTGTCATTTACGCATAGGGACACTAGAGGAGATGCAGGGTTCTGGGGGCAGGGTTGCTGGTGACTGTTACTCATTGTGGACATTTTGAACTTACGATGTCTGTGAGACAGCTGAGTAACGCGGGCAGTTGGACCTACAGATCTGGTGCTCAGGAAAAGTCTGAGCTTTGGTGATTTTTGGCACAGAGATGGGATTTGAAACCTCACGAGTGGATAAGATTGTCAAGTGAGAGGGTATGGATAATAATTGATCACTGAGGCTGGTAAGCAGGAGCTAGAGAAGGAGAAGGAAAACCAGAAGTGTAGTGTCATGGAAGCCAAAGGAAGTAGAATATTTAGCTGTGCTAAATATTGCTGAAAGAAGATGAAAGAATATGACAAACCCCAGAGATGTGTGTTCCAGGTCCAGGAGCAACTGTCATAGAGAAGGAGGATTATATTTCCCTGGGGCTAAGGTTGTCAGGAGATGATTTTCAGAAAATACATTAAAAAAGAAAATTCTGTGATACTGGAAATTGAACCCAGGACCTTGCACTGTACTCCTGATGCTGAACTACATCCCCAACTCTTTTTATTTTTTCACTTTGAGACAAGGTCTTGCTAAGTTTCCCAGGCTGGCCTCAAACTTGTGATCCTCCTGCTTCAGCCTCCTGAGTAGCTGAGGTTACAGGCATGGGCCACTAGGCCCAGCTAGAAAACAAATTCTTGAGTTGGTACAACTAAATCTATTGTAAGCTTCTCTCCTGCAGGCCGAGATGCATCCAGAGCATTTGTGACCGGAGACTACTCTGAAGCAGGCCTGGTAGATGATGTAGCTGATTTGTCCTTCTCTGAGATGCTGACCCTTCAAAACTGGCTTTCATTTTATGAGAAGAATTACGTATTTGTGGGTTGGTATTCCTCAGGTCATTTCCATAGGTTTCACTTGGTTGTCCTGCAGTTTTTTTCAAGGGGCCAGGATTCTTTAGGGATTGCCCTCAAGGTTAAAATCTGAAAAATAGGGCTGGGGAGTGCTTGGCTTAGCATGTGTGAGTCCCTGGGTTTGATCCCTAGCACTACAAACACCCCCTGTCCCTTCCCCCCAAAACCAGTCTGAAAATTAGCCCTGGATTTTGTTTTTTTTGGTATCGGGGATTGAACTCAGGACCTTGCGGTTGTGAGGCAGGCGCTGGAACCACTGAGCTAAATCTCCAGCCCCTACCCTGGATTTTTCATTTTAAATTCTGGCTGTTAGTGAGCCCCAGAGGAAATGGATGTGGGACCCGTTTCGCTCACTCTCAATCTTGGGAGAGGAATGCCAAGCCCTTTGCCTTGGCCTCGGTTGCCCAAAGCCAGTGGTCGCCTGCACCATCCCTGAACAGCTAGCCCCAAGAGTATAGCTATCTTGTTTCAATGTGTTCTATGCATCTGGCTTCAGCACACAGCCAGGAAGGTTTGAAGCCTAAATTATTATGTAGTTTTGATAATTCTCTTCTATTTTATTTATATAAATATATATATATATTTTGAGACGGGGTCTTGCTCTGTAGTTCAGACTGGCCTTAAACTTACTGTGTAGCCCAGGTTGGCCTCGAATTTGCAGCAATTCTTCTGCCTCAGCCCCCTGAGTGCTGGGATTACAAGCATGTGCCACCATGCTGGGCTAATTCTCTTTTATTTTATCCTGTGAGCAGTGTCTTTTGAGGTGGAATTTATGCTAATCAAATACTTGCTGCAGCTAGCTGTGTAGGGTATGGCACTTTCTACTTACTGGTAGGTAATACATGAGGGAACTTGCTTCATAAATGGAAAGATACCCCCATCATCCTAAGGAAGTGTTCCAGATGCTAAACATGGCACTGAAGTCGGCATGCCTGGGGGCCTTGTTTCCATCTACCTACACCTCTCTTCTCTCACCAGAGCCCCACTTGTTTATGGCCAACTTATGGGAAATGCCAGTGTCACTTCACCATTTGAAGAGGTCTAAGTTGGAACTGTTTGTGATGCCTCTGAACATCTGCTTCTGTCATTACTGCTGGGGTTACCTTTTCTGGGGTTACCATTTTTACTAACTCCTCAGTTCCTTCCACATCCACTTGGCCAAGGCTTTCTTCATAACATCTAAAGCCTCGTACCTTTCCATTTCCAGTCCCCATCTCATCATCATTGGCCTTTGTCATCCCAGCCTATGACACGCACTTCCTTATTTTTTCCTTGGTCTGCTGCACATTGTTCCTGAGACCGCAGCTACATCTGCTGTTGAAGGAGCTGACCCCTGACCAGCTGACCATCTGGACTTTAGAAGGCCCAGTTCTTCCTTTCTCCCATGAGGTTGCCAAATACCAGTAGAAACATTGCTGAGTTAATAATAAAGAAAAGCAAACTCAACATAAAAGAAGGAGAATGAGCAAAAAGATTCTAGAGCAAACACTCTACTGAGATTTGGGAAGCTGTTCCTGATGTGGTAAGACAAATGAACTAGTCTTGTTGGAGCAATGTATAATGTGTGTGTGGAGGGAGCAAATAGTTGGAAATGCCTGAGAAGGATTTTAGTTAAACTCAGGATATATTTGAATGTCTGCTTTTGGTAAGTTGTGGTTCTGGTCCTCACGGGAGCATGGATGAGAAGAATACAGTTCCTGCCCACTCTAGGATGAGGACCAGGTGAGGTTTTTTTCTGGTCATCAGAAACCCTCAGGACATATCAGGATGAAGGTGTATTGTTAAGACACAGACTGAATTGAAGGTAGTGAGGAAGCCATGGTGGAGTCACACAACTGGGCCTCAAGGGAAAATGAGGTGACATTTGTGCTCTGGATACAGAACTGGCTTTAGAGAACCAGCTAGTAACCACTGTTTTCATGATACAGCTCTCCTCTCTCTCTCTTTCTCC